CCCTATCCAGACATTAGCTAAATATTTACCTAAATTTCCTATACATGTCATAGTTTCAAGTTGTACATTTTACTCTTTAGTAACCTAAAATTTATTTATGTACATGATATGAGATAAAGATCTAAATAGATGGTCCCCCCATTTTAAATTTTATTTCCCCTGCACACTTATTATATAATTTCTATATTCCTCACTGATTCCCTTAAAGCAGTGGTCTTACTGAAGGTGACTTTTGCCACCTGGGGACATTTGACAATGTTGGGATAACTTTTTGGTTGTCATAACAGGGACAGGAATGCCATGGGCATCTAATGGTTATCCAATGGGTAGAGGCAAAGATGATGTAAACATTTTACATGCATGGGTCAGCCCTCACAACAAAGAATTGTTTAGCTCAAAATGTCAATAGTGCTGCTGTGGAGAAACCTATTTTAAAATTTATCTTAGACTAGCAGACCTTCTCCATATTAGATATTAGATGTTGTTAAATATGTAAGCCAATTGCTACTACTCACTTGAGAACCAACTACCTAGAGTTGTCCCTGTGAGAAACAGCCCAGGTCAGTGTCTACACTTCCTTGGACCTTCCTTCCCCACCCCCGCCCCCAAGTTCGAGGTCCTTTTGGATGTTACATTACATCTTTTTACATTTGGAATGCATCTCCTGACTGGGAATAGCATGGCCTCACCTTGTTCTCATTCTCATGGTACCTCTAGGTGTACTGTATTGTAATACTTTAAATCTTCATATTTTCCTGCTTCCTCAATATCCCCACAAATGGGCTGCATCACTTACTGCTGTCCCTTTTCTTGTCCCCAAGTCCATGGAGGTATCCTGGATCCCATTCATACAGTTTGGTGCCTTAAGATTTTTTTAAAAAGTTGGGGGAGTGCAAATGAAGGAGCTTTTTTCTTTTTAAATATTTTATTGTTTACACTATTACAGTTGTCTCAATATTTCCCCTTTGTTTCCCTCCACCGAGCCTGCTCCCCACTCCTATAGTCAGTCTCCACTCCATTGTCCATGTCCATGGGTAATTCATATATTAGCATAATTCATATGCTAATCCCTTACCTTTTTTCAACCAGTCCCCACCTTCCACCTCCCCTCCTATACCTGTCAGTCTGTTCCATGTTTCTGTGCCTCTGATTCTGTTTTGCTTGTTAGTTTATTTTGTTCATTACATTCCACTTAAAAATGAGTCTTATGGTATTTGCCTTTCATTGACTGGCTTATTTCATGTGGCATAGTATCTTCCAGTTCCATTAATGAATGCTGTTGCAAAAGGTAAGAAATCCTTTTTTACTGCTGTGTGATATTCCAATGTGTAAATGTACCACAGTGTTTTTTATCCACTCATCTACTGATTGGCACTTAGGCTATTTCTAAATCTTGTCTGTTGTAAATAACACTGCTATGAACATATGGGGTGCATACATTCGTTGGAATTGGTGTTTCAATATTCTTACGATATATTCCCAGAAGTGGAATTGCTGGGTCAATAGGCAGGTCCATTTTTAATTTTGTTGAGGAAACTCTATACTGTTTTCCAGAGTGGTTGTACCAGTCTATGTTTCCACCAACAGTGTAAACGGATTCCCCTTTCTCCATATCTTCACCAGAACTTGTTGTCGGTTGAGTTATTTTGGCAGGTATGAGTTGGTATGTCATTGTGGTGCCAATTAAAAATTTGCATCTCTCTGATGGCAAGTGATGTTGAGCATTTTTTTGTATGTTTATGGGTCCTCTGTATTTCCTCCTTGGAAAAGTGTCTATTAAGTTCCTTTGCCAATTTTTTAACTGGATTGTTTGTCTTCCTGGTGTTGAGTCATATGAGTTCTTTATATATTTTGGAGATTAAACTCTTGTCCGATGTATCATTGGCAAATATCTTCTCCCATACAATGGGTTCCCTTTTCATTTCAATGAAGGTTTCTTTAGCTGTACAAAATCTTTTTAATTTGATGTACTCCCACTTGTTTATTTTTTCCTTTGTTTCTCTTGCCCTAGGAGAGACTCTTGTATATTGATAAAAATATTGCTATGTGGATAGCTAATATTTTACTGCCTGTGTTTTCCTCTGAGATTTTTATGGTACTGCAACTTATATTTAAGTCTTTTATCTATTATGAATTTATTTTGGTGTATGGTATAAATTGGTGGTCTAGTTTTTTTTTTGTTTTTGTTTTTGTTTTTTTGCAAGTACTAGGGCAGTTCTCCCAATACCATTTATTGAAGAGACTATGTTTTTTCTTTGTAAAGATCTTATTTATTTATTTAGAGGAAGGGGAAGGGAGGGAGAAGAGAGGTAGCAAAACATTGATGTGAGAGAGAAATAGCTAATGGTTACTTCTCACATGCCCCCAACTGGAGATCAGGCCTGCAACTCAGGCATGTGCCCTGATCGGGAATTGAACCAGGAACCATTTTCTTTGCAGTATGATGCCCAACCAACTGAGCCACACTGGTCATGGCTGAAGAGGCTGTCTTTACTCCATTGTACACTCTTGACTCTTTTGTCAAATATTAATTGACTTAAAGGCATGGGTTTATTTCTAGGGCTCTGTTCTGTTCCATTGATGTATGTGCCTGTTCTTATGCTAGTTCCAGACTGTTCTGATTAAAGTGACTTTATAGTATAGCTTGATATCAGGCATTGTGACCCTCCCAACTTTCTTCTTTTTTCTCAAGAGTGCTGAGGATACTTGGAATCATTTTGGTTCCATATAAATTTTTGGAGTACTTTTTTAAGATCTGTGAAATAAGCCATTGGTATTTTAATAGGAATTACATTGAATCTGTATATTGCCTTGGGTAGTATAGACATTTTAATAATGCTAATTCTTGCAATCTATTAATCTATACTTCCACTTATTTGTATCTTCTTCAGTTTCTTCAGTGTCCTATAGTGTTCTGATTACAGGTCTTTTACCTCCTTGGTTAAATTTATTCCTAGGTATTTTATTTTTTGTTGTTGTTGCAATAGTAAATGGGGTTGTTTTCTTAGTTTCTCTTTCTGATAGTTCCTTATGGGTGTATAGAAATGCCAACAATATCTGAGTATTGATTCTGTATCCCACTACTTTGCAAAATTCATTTATTAGGTCTGCTTGTTTTCTTGGAATGTTTAGGGTTCTTTGCATATATTATCATGTTAGCTGCAAGTAATGCCAGTTTGACTTCCTCCTTTCCAATTTGGATGCTATTCATTTCGTCTTCTTGTCTTATTGTTGTGGCTAAGACTTCCAGTATTATGTTGCATAAGAGTAGTGAAAGTGGATACCCCTGTCTTTTTCCTGGTCTTAAGGGAAATGCTTTTAGTTGTTGTCCATTGAATATAAGGTTGACTGTAAGTTTTTCATATATGGCATTTATCATGTTGAGTTATGATCCATCTGTTCCCACTTTACTGAGAGTTTTTATCATAAATGGGTGCTAGATTTTATTAAATGCTTTTCCTATATCTATTAATGTGATCATGTGATTTTTATCTTTCATTTTGTTTATGTGATATATCACATTTATTGATTTGAGAATATCATACTAACCTTGCATCCTCGGGATAAATCCACTTGATCATGTTGTATGATCTTTTTAATATATTACTGGATCCAGTTTGCTAATATTTTGTTGAAGATGGTAGCATCTCTGATTATCAGGGATATTGGCCTATAATTTTCTTTCTTTGTTGTGTCTTCATCTGGTTTTGTAATTAGGATAATACTGGCCTTGTAAAAAGAGCTTGGAAATCTTCCCTCTTCTTGAATATTTTGAAATAGTTTGAGAAGGATAGGTGTTAGCTCTTCTTTGAATGATTGCTAAGATTTGCCTGTGAAGCAGTCTGCTCCAGGACTTTTGTTTGCTGGAAGTTTTTTGATTACTGCTTCAATTTCATTAGTTGTTATTGGTCTATTCAAGTTTTGTGCTTCTCCCTGATTCAGTTTTGGAATATTGTATGTTTCTAGAACTGTATCCATTTAACCTAGGTTGTCCAATTTCTTGGCATATAGTTGTTCACAGTATTTTTTTTTACAGTCCTTTGTATTTCTGTGGTTTCAGTTGTACTTCCCCACTTTCATTTCTGATTTTATTCAGTTGGGCCTCTCTATTTTTTACTTGATGAGTTACTTAAAGATTTGTCAATTTTGTTTATCTTTTCAAAGAACCAGCTCCTGGACTCATTGATCTTTTGAATTGTTTTTTTAGTCTCTATGTCATTTATTTCTGCTCTGATCTTGATTATTTCCTTCCTTCTAGTCACTCTAGCCTTATTTGTTTTTTTTCTAGTTCATTTGGGTATAGGGTTAGATTGTTATTTGAGATTTTTCTATCTTCTTGAGGTAGGCCTATAATGCTATGAATGTCCCTCTCAGTCCTACTTTCACTGTGACCCATAGGCTTTAGGTTGTTGTGTGTTCATTTTCATTTGTTTCCAAGCACTTTTTGACTTCTTCCTTGATCTCATTGATGATCCATTTGTTATTTAAAAACATGCTATTTAGACTCCATGTTTTTTAATGTTTTTGAGGGTTTTTTTATTGAGGTTGATTTTTAGTTTCATACCATTGTGATGTTAGAAGAGGTTTGATAGAATTAGAATTTTCTTGAATTTATTAAGGTTTATTTTGTGCCCTACCATGTGGTTTATCTTTGAGAATGATCCATGTCCACTTGAGAAGAATGTGTTTTTTGTTGCTTTGGAATGAAATGTTCTGTAAATATCAATTAAATCCATTCAATGAAATGTGTTATTTAAGGCTGCTATTTCCCTTGTTGATTTTATTTTTGTCTGGAAGATCTATCCATTGATGATAATGGGCTGTTAAAATCCTCTACAATGAATGTATTGCTGTCAATATCTTCCTTAAAGTCCACCAAGATTTTCCTTACTATGTAGGTGTTCCTACATTGGGTGCCTATGTCTTTCCAAGGGTTATATCCTCTTGTTGAATTGTTCATTTTAGTATTATGTAGTGACTTTCTTTGTTTCTTTTTACAGCCTTTGTTTTGAAGTCTACTTTGTCAGATGTAAGTATTGCTCCTCACCCCAGTTTTTGTTGTTGTTGTTGTTGTTGTTGTTGTTGTTGTTTGTTTCTATTTGCATGGAATACTTTTTTCCATCCCTTCACTTTCAGCCTGTGTAAATCTTTTGTTCTGAAGTGGGTCTCTTGTGGACAGCATATATATGGGTCAGGTTTTCTTATCCATTCTGCTACCCTGTGTCTTTTGATTGCAGCATTTAATCCACTTACAATTAAGGTGATTATTGATAGGTACTTATTCATTGCAATTTTATTCCTTTATAATTATGTCCCCTCTCTATATATTTTTCCTTCTTCTTCAAACAATCCCTTTAACATCTCTTGCCATGCTGGTTTGGTGTAAATGAACTCCTTTAGTCATTTTCTTTTCTCAGAAGCTCTTTATTTCACCTTCCATTTTAATATAGCCTTTCTAGATAGAGTAGTCTTGGTTGCAAATCCTTGTTTTCCATTACTTTGAATACTTCATGCCAATCCCTTCTGGCCTGAAGTGTTTCTGTTGAGAAATCAGCTGATAGTCATATTGGAACTTCCTTGTAGATAACTGTCTGTTTTTCTCTTGCTAACTTTAAGATTCTCTTTGTCTTTAAACTTTGACATTTTAATTTTGATGTGTCTTGGTATGGGTCTGTTTGGATTCCTCTTGAGTGGGACACTCTGTGCTTCCTTAATTTGTGTCACTTTTTCTTTCACTAGGTTAGGGAAATTTTCTGTCATTAATTCTTCAGACAGGCTTTCTATCCCTTGCTCACATTCTTCTCCTTCTGGTATCCATATAATATGGATATTGTTATGTTTCATGCTGCCCCAAATTCCTTTAAACCATCCTCATCATTTTAAGTCATTTTTCTCTGTGTTGCCTTGACTGGATATTTTTTCTATCTTGTCTTCCAAATCATTGATTCAATCCTTTCCTTCATCTTCCCTGCTTTTGTTTCCTTCTATTGCATTCTCCATTTCAGATATTTCATTCTTCATTTCCAACTGATTCTTATTCATAGTTTCTATGTCCTTTTTCATGCTAATGTAGTTCCCACTAAGTTCCTTGAAGTTCTCACTAAGTTCCTTGAGCATCCTATAACCATTACTTTGAACTCTATGTTTGATAAATTGCTTGCCTCGATTTCATTTAGCTCTTTTTCTGGGGATTCCTCCTTTTCTTTCATTTGGAGATTATTTCTTTGTCTCACCATTTTAGCTGACTCTATGTGTTTCCATGTATTCGATAGACCTGGTTTGACTCCCTATCTTTGTAGGAGTCCTGTGGGACTCAATGGTGCAGTCTCCTTGACCTCCTGAGCTGGATTGTCTAGGAGTGTCCCTTGTGTAGTTATCTGGGCTCTCATATTGTACTTGGGTCTTGATTGTTGTTGGCCCATTGGTGTGATTCCTCCTCCAGCTGGTTGACTGCATGGTTCAACTGTTGTACACTGTTGTATAGGTTCTGACAGAACAAAGAAAACAATACAAAAACAGAACTGAAACAAGAAAAAATAAAAGAGATCCCAGGAACAGCAAAATCAATGAAAAAGGGCAAACAATAATAAAACTGGAGATATAAATACAATAGTGAAAGAAAAAAGAATACAAAAACACCAAAGAAAAGAAAAATTATTATGAGAAAAGGGAAAGAAGAGAAACAATAAGAGAGGAAATAGAAAAAGACAATAAGGAATAGAAAAAGGAAATTGCTGAAAAAAAGACATTGACAATAAAGAACAATGAAAGGGAAATAATTTAAAAAATAAGAAAAGGAAAAAAGGAGGAAAATGGTTTACAAAAAAGGAAGAGCAAAATAGGAGATTTGAAAGAAAAAAATGGAAAAAAGAGACTTCTGGAGATAGAGGCATAGGTAGATACACTTTGCTTCCTCACACAACCAAAAGAAAGACAACAAGCAATTTAAAAAGAAAAAAAACATAACTGCTAGAATTGAACTGTATGGAAGTTTGACAACTGAGGAGTTAAAGAAGAAATACTCATCCAGACTGCACCACAATGCAGCAAAGTGGGTTGCCCTGCCCTGCCAAATATCTAAGGCTCCGCCCCTTACAACGTAACAGGTGCATCAAGACAAAGAAATATGGCCCAAATGAAAGAACAAATCCAAATTCCAGAAAAAAACTAAGTGACAAGGAGACAGCCAACCAATCAGAGGCAGAGTTCAAAACACTGGTAATCAGGATGCTCACAGAAATTATTGATTATGGATGAAAAATCAAGGAAGAAGAGAAGGCTATACAAAGCGAAATAGAGAAAACTATACAGGGAATCAACAGTGAAGGGAAGAAAACTGGGGCTTAAATTAACAATATGGAACAGAAGGAAGAAATAAACATTCAATTGGAACAGAATGAAGAAACAAGAATTCAAAAATATGAGGAGAGATTTTGGAACCTCTGGGACAACTTTAAACGTTCCAACATCCAAATCATAAGGGTGCCAGAAGGAGAAGAAGAGCAAGAAATTGAAAACTTATTTGAAAAACATAATGAAGGAGAACTTACCTAATCTGGCAAAGGAAACAGACTTCCAGGAAGTCCAGGAAGCTCAGAGAGTCCCAAAGAAGTTGGGCCCAAGGAAACACACATTAAGGCACATCATAACTAAATTACCCAAGATTAAAGACAAGGAGAGAATCTTAAAAGCAGTAGGAGAAAAGAAGACAGTCACCTACAAAGGAGGTAAGATTATCTTCCCATGAGATTATCAGCTGATTTCTCAAAAGAAACCTTGCAAGCAAGAAGGAGCTGGAAAGAAGTGTTCAAAATCATGAAAGGCAAGGACCTATATCCCAGATCACTCTCTATCCAGCAAAGCTTTCATTTAGAATGGAAGGGCAGATAAAGTGCTTCCCAGATAAGGTCAAGTTAAAGGAGTTCATCATCACCAAGCCCTTATTATATGAAATGTTAAAAGGATTTATCTGAGAAAAAAAAGATCCAAACTGTGAACAGTAAAATGACCACAAACTCACAACTATTAACAACTGAACTTGAAAAACAAAAACAAAAACAAACTAAGCAAACAACTAGAACAGGAACAGAATCACAGAAATGGAGATCACATGGAGGGTTATTAGCAGGGAGGAGGAAAGGGGAGAATGGAGAAAAAGGAACAGGGAATAAGAAGCATAATTGGTGGGTACAAAATAGACAGGGGGAGGTTAAGAATAGTATAGGAAATGGAGAAGCCAAATAATTTATATGTACGATCCACATACATGAACTAAGTGAGGGTAATGCTGGAAGGAGGTGGGCTGCAAGGCAGAGGTGGACAAAGGGGAGAAAAAACTGGAACAACTGTAATAGCATAATCAGTAAAATACACTTTAAAATAACATAAAAATAAAAATACAAAAAATTGAAAAAAGAAAGGGTAAAAAGGCTATGCAAAAAATAATGTAAAAGAACAGAACAGATTTTGTGTCACCAGAGGTTTGTGCTTGCCTGCTGGGTTCTCCCTTTGGATATGGCTCTGATGTTGTCTGAAGCTGGTGTAAGTCAATATCAGATGCTTCCCATGTCTAGCCCTTGGGAACCTGTTCAAATTACAAGCAATCCACAGTTTGTGTCTGTCTCCTCTGGGCTTGACTCTGTCACCAATGGGTGTCACTGTGCTGCCAGGCTGGCTTTTATTAGCACAGGGTCCAGAGGTGGGTCAGCAAAGGTCGGAGGGCACCAAAGGAGCCACCTCCACTTACCTCTACCTACTGGTCTGCTGTCAGCCTTAGTGTAGCTGCTGACCTGTTTCTGAGAGGGCTTCTGGCAGAATTGGGAGGGTGGGACCTCTATATCTCACATACAAGGTGCTGTTCAGACCTCAGGGAAGATGGTGAGTATTCTCTTAAGTCTGTACAGAATTATTTCCCTGAACTTGGGGGAAGGCAGCATCCCTAGTAGGCTAGTGATGGTGCCTCCAGAGCCCAGAGTGTGGGTCTGCTGGAAACCAGGAGGGTATATCTGGCTCTCCCATGAGGTGGAAGCACCTCTCTGGTTCCCCAGACTCATGTATGGAATAGCTGTGCCCTTAAGCCACTCTCTGATACCCCATGAGTCTGCCTGTTACTTTCTCCTTAGCGGAGGTTAAGATGTAGGGTAGGGCAAAGTAAGGGGGGGAGATGCAGTGGGGCAAGCAGGATCCCTGGAGGGGGAGTGTGGGATTTCAGAGGAGGAGCGAGCGGGATTCCAGAGGGTGTGGCCAGCAGTTCCCCATAGGGTTGGTTACTTGTTTTTCCCCTGGGAGGGGCTTGCTTTTCTCAAGAAAAATTGCTGTTGTGGTATCGAGTTATGTCCCAGCACTGGGAGCCCAGCAGCCAATCCCCACTGTCTCTCCGCAGTGCCTTCCACTCCAGACTCTCCTTGTGTGACTCCAGTCTGTGGCACCTTACCTTCTCCTGAGCCCAAGGTGAGTGGCAGCGACTGAGAAACCCGCGCTGTGGCCCATTGGCAGGGTGAGGGCTGGGGAGTGGTCCGGAAATAGTGGCTTTGTTTCCAGGAGGCTCCATCTCTCCCCAGCAGACTAAAATACTGCAGCCTTTCACCACTGGATGCTACCTAGGTGGCGGACCCCGGCACAGGTGCTCTCTGCTTGGGTGTCTGGTCTGGGATCCAGGCTTCACTCCTCTCAGGGAAGCTCCAACAGCTGAGCTGTACCTTGGCCTGCCACCCAAAGGAGAAGTGCTGACCCTTTTCGCATCTCTGTCCTTCCTGCTGGTCTTGAGGTGGTTTCTACGCATCCTTGGTGACGAGTCCCCTGTTCAGGTAGTCTTTTGTTGTTTATTCCTTGTGACTGGTCCCCTCTTTTAATTTTATTTCCATTTTGGTTCTGGGAGGTGGTGCAAGATAGATCCTCCTACTCTGCCGGCATCTTGGCCAGCCCATCCTGGAAGGAGCACTTTGGTCCTGCTCCACTAAAATACCTGAGGAGGTTTCTCAGCTCATTTGAGATTACTAACCTCCTATTCCACCTGCCTGGGCACTTTTAAGTGCTGCTACCAATTGACATGCTAAGAGTGTCTTTAGAATTAAATTGTCACGAAACAAAAAATTTAAAAGACAAAGTTGAGGCCCTTATTACTCTCCTACTTGTAGATCCTAGCCCCTGGAAGGTTGATTGGGACCAGTGGAGAGACCTCCCCCACCAAACACAGCAGGGATCATTCAGGAACTTGTCAGGTAGACATCCAAAGAGAGAGAAGAAATTTAACTGCCTGGAGATACAAAGCACTCTAAAAGATTTTTGTTTAACAAAACAAAGAAAAGGGGTGGAGCGCTGATTATCCCGTAGTTGGTAGGGGGCTGTTCCAGAGAGAAGCTACAGCCTAGAGACACCAGGTGCCTTGTCTTTTCCCCTTTCATCTTATCAACCAGAAACAGAAATAAAGTTCTTGCTTTCAGGTAGCTAAAAGCCTAGGGAAAAAAGCAGGGGTATATGGGTGTATTGCCACTTCAGGCAGCTACAACCCCAATGAGGGAAAAAGAAACCTAACACCTTATAACAAACTCAGGTCTAGCTAACATAATGCTAGTCCTGGATTATTTATTGATTAAAAAAAAACAACAACAACAAGAACAAAAGCCCTAAATATAGGAAAAAGTAAATAAGGTAATTAAATACATTATGTATAATGTGTCTGTGCATAACTTAGTTAAAGCATGGCTCCATAATGTAATCTACTTGGAAATCCAGAATGAACATATAACTTTTAGATACTGAAGAATTTCTATAACACAAAGATTAAAAGGGTACTGATTGGGTTCTGTGCCTCCGCAACCTGGGTTCTACATTAATGTTTGCTAAAATGTACCAATTAACAAAACATCTGGGACTCAATACTAGTACTCAAATTAGAGTTGTATGAATGCATCCCACTAAATTTAAACATGTGCCCTGTATGATCTTGGAAAGGTAATTAAATATAAAATGAGGAAAAATTGGTATGCCTCATTTTAACTGTAGCCTTGCCTAAATTTCTCATAGTCACAGTACTCATTGTCCTAAAATTTCATATTAGACATAGATGCTCTAATGTAGTGAATAATAAGTTTAAATGAATGTAAATTTTTGGCACTTACAAATTGACTTGATAAGTGCAACCCTAGTTAAAATAGTTAATATGGCCCAAAGTAAATTAAAATAGAACCTTCAAAGATTAAAACTTATTATATAAAACCTAGTAAGTAAAGGAGCAATTATCTCTACTGCATCTCCATATAACAGCCTAATTTTGCCTGTTCTTAAATCTGAAAAGCAAATAAATAAATGGCACTTCAAATGGATTACTGCAACCTGAGTGCTATGGTCCCATCCATCAAGGCCCCCATACCCAATATTATTGAAATTACTGGGTTCTCCTGGATTCTGTTCAAAGAACAAGGAATAAATGCTTTCCTCTTGTAGATTTGACTAACATGTTCTATTCAGTGCCTATTTCATTTTCTTAAAGATTTCATTTATTTATTTTTAGACAGAGGAGGAGGGAGAAAGTGAGGGAGAGAAACATCAATGTGTGGTTGCCTCTCACACGCCCCCTACTGGGGACTTGGCCCATAATCCAGGCATGTGCCCTAACTGGGAATCAGACTGGTGATCCTTTCATTTGCAGGCTGGCACTCAGTCCACTGAGCCACACCAGCCAGGGCTTCAGTAGCTATTTCAGTAGTCAGCTGCAGTTTGCCTCCACCTTCAAAGGGACACAACATACCTTTCCAGGTTACCCACAGGGTACCTTAACAGCTTTACTATCATACAGTTTTTGCATACAAGACCTTCACTACATCCGTCTTTCTCCAGGAGCACACATGTGACATTATGTTGATAGCATCCTCCTCCAAGAAGGATGACACATTTGCTAATGACACATAAATCCAACATCATTTAATCATTTGGGGGTTCTGGTGACAACATAGTCCTCATTTAAAAATTTTACTTACAAATTTAAAATCAACAGGCATTCCTGTTAGTACCTTCAAAAATTCCTTCACTGTAGAGCCTTTGGCAACCTCTTCTCATGCCTCCTGGAGCCTCTGAACCACTTTTGATGACCATTGGTTGCCTCAGGGCTTCTGTTGCAAGGACTTGCACCTGTTGGTCTCTCCATTAAAACAACAAATGACTAGCTACCTATTGGGCTGTCCTCGAAATAGAGGCTCACATAGACCCTGAGCCTGTGAACCTCCATATCCATAGGCCCTTATTCTTTGAATCATAAAAACTATACTCCACAAGCTCAACATAGCTAACAAGGCCTCATCCGGACAGGTGGGAGCCAAATCTTAGCCTTGTGACATATTCTACCGGCAGGAGAGGGTGACTTTCCTTGTTCTCAGTCTCTGGCCAGATGCCCGACAATGTACTAAAGGAAGTCACTTCTCCCCCAGACCCCTTATCTCCCCGGGGAGCTTCTTGGAACTAACTGAACAACAATGTCAGTGGCACTGCTACCCATCATACATGATGGATCTCTGTGGAACATTCCTGCTTTTCATCCCTTAGCCAGCACATCCCTGGTAAAGATGGACCCAAGAAACAACATACTTAACCAAATTTCAGGTAGTCATCTTAGTGCCTGGATGCCCTGGCCAACAATGTCCCCATCTTCACATTTATTTTAAACTGTTGGGCCATTCCCTAAAAATTATCCCCTTCAGGGTAAAATATTTTAGAAATCTCTTTTCTCACAGATACCCAAAATGGAAATCAAAATTACACATGCCTCTGCATATACTAAGGCCACAACACAAGGCTTTGCCAGGACATTCCTTATTCTTTTCAGAGTTACAGACATTATGGGTAGTAACCAAAGCACACAGCTTCACTTTTCAAAATACACAACACTGGGCTTTTGGAAGAGGTACTCCGTAGAACTTTCATGTCCCTGATAAGTCCCACATAGACACATATGGTCTTCTCAAACAACTCCTCTTCAAATTCTAGTATAAAAAACTCTAAAATTCTCTACTTGCCCCAGGTCTTAATTTATTTTTATAAATTTTCAACTTACGCCCCCCCCCCAAGCATATGGCAGGAGGCCAAATCAAAGGCACAAACTGTACTCTCTTAGAACTCATTAAACTTAGGTTGTCCCACAGGCCAAGCAATTGCTCACTTGATAAGTGACCCATTTGAACCTTGACTGCCACCAAAACCTAAAACAAAACCGTACATCATTCTGTTGATTGTTGCTGTTATTAATACTGGTCTGGGTGCTTTCATTGGTTGACAGTCTGGACGCTCACAGCAACTAAGTGAGCACCCTCTTGGAAAGGATGCTCTAGTCCCACATCCCAGACAACATTGTCCTGACCCAAAATCTTATGGCTGGAATTGACATCGCCCCAGAAGACAACACTTCAACCCAAGACCTTGTCATTGGAGATGAATCCACCTCTTACACTAAAATCTACACCCCAGGGACACCCATAGACTGCCTCTCCTGTGGCACAAAGTGGACACAGGACATTTTTGCGTTTATTCCTGTGTTTGCTATCTGCTTAGTCCATGATTCCAGTTTACACCTTGTTCTCTGAGAAAACGTATACCCTACACTTCCATGCCTAAAGGGATATCTGGTAGAAGTTACTAATATTAATGGAGATTATTGCTTTGCCCTGGAGGCATTCACCTTCTATCAGTCAAGCCCTTAATTCTGTGGGGAGAGGGCTACCCATTCCCTGGTGCCTCTTCCCAAATCCCCCTCCCCAGTTTTCACCATCACCTCTTTCTTTGTGTCTGTTACTATGGCTACCACAACCACTCTTTCCCCTTGGCTAAACACCACTACCTTCTCACAGATTCATTATGCCCTAAGTAGTGGCATCTTCAGGTACTATTGTGGCCCAAATTCATAGGCACAGCACCTTATGTAGTTCTTGTTGACTCCCCAACAGGTTTTCCCTAATGAAACCATTGCCCAGTGTGCAACAGTTATATTGGGGATTCCCATGGTTGTTTATCTGCTAGGTACTTCCCTGTTTCCATCAACCCAAGAATGATACAGAGAGATATGATCAGATCACTAAGGAGAAATAGGGAGGGGCCATAGGAGAATTTTGCCAAGGCAATGGTAAATAGTCGAGGACGGGATTGGCTGAGAAGCTCAATGCCTCCAGAATACATGGAATTCTGGGCCAGAAGATTTGAAATAAAAGAAGGGCTCTTGGGCTGTTGGATTGGCTGGCTCTGGCTCCCTGGGTCTCTACTCTTTCTCAGGGATGTCTGGGTGATCATACTGCAGCTTCCTGCATTTCCCAGTGGACGGTATTTTGTATGGGAAGGAACTTTGGGCAAATTGTAGGATCAGGCTGGCCAGGCAAAGGGTGGCAGGGTTATTCTTCTTTGGGTGTTCTAGAGGGGACAAGCTTGGAGGCAGAAGCTTGCCGTTCTTCCAAAATTGTATAGATTTTTTGTGTCTTATGTTGTTTTAGTTTGTAATCTAACCCTATAAAATAAGATAATTAAAAACTAACAGGAGGAATGATAGAACTCAGGTATTAAAGAGTTTAGCCTTAATTGATAGGCTTAAGTGACTAATGCATGTGGAAAGCTGTTATTCCAAAATTTTATAATTTTTGAGTAAAGACTCCTTTCCTTTATTATCAAACCTTTGCCTTTGGAATTTTGCCTAGAGGGTGGTGGTAGGCAGCAGGACCCCACTTGCTGTTCAGTAACAAAGATGCCAGGCAAAACAGATAATATTTATTCCTTTTATGATAAAACTTGCCATAACCACAGGAGTGGCCAGTATTGGCACCAATATAGT